GGTTCCACTGTATATGCAGTATTGCTTGATATCACAATCTGAACTCTTTTTCATTACTGTACAACTTCTATAATCAGAAGCTGCTTTAAATTTCCCAATGTTCTTTCTTTTAGTTTTTTCTGACAACGACATCCAGTTTTGTTGTGTAGCTAAACTGGAGTTTCTTGGCCTCTTGGGTAAGTTGCGTCATCTTTTGTACTGCAGGAATAATTCTAAACGTTCTTCTAATGATGAGAATCATAAGATGATACAGAGGGTCCCTGTTATCCTGGTAGAAAGATTTGAAAATGGTGGTAACAGTCATGTTAGTTGAAGAGAGAACCAATTTAGCAATGTCTTTCTGCATAAAGTGAAGAGAGAATGGTGAAATGTCTGAAATCGCCCCAACCCCAATTTATGATGTGGTTCCCATCCTCTTAAGACCATCTAAACTGAGTTTGGCCTTTGGCCATCAAAGGGTTCAGAAAAACCTGTTGTTTCTAGGTTATACATTTTGCAGGAGATGCAGTTCTCTCTCATTGCAATATGAAGTTTTTGTTAATGTTTGCATTGAAGTAGTTTTTCTCACTAGTTAGAATCAATGTGTTGCTTAATATGGTGCAATGTGGTGCTGCTTTGCAGAGCTGCCTTGACTCAGAACACAGTCACTAAAATGAAGTGACATTCAATATTTTGCCTGGCCATTCTGCTTTAGTGGAAGTACCTTTTACACAGAAGTGCCTACAGGTGGAATGCTGAATCACAGTGAACAGGGGCTTTGAAGACTCAATTGAAACAAAGTGCTCCTTGAAGGCTTCGTACAAGTTGAATCTATTGATTTGGTTGACATATTCATCAAGAGATACAGCAATCCTACCTAACATTTTGGAGTGCTATGACATTAGAATCACTGACAAAGCCAAAGATCAACCAGGGACAGACCAGCAGAAGGGAGGGAAGGGAAGAGCAACTGATGTGCTTTTGGGGGGGGGGGTATTTTCCTACACATTTTTGTTTCCAAATGAGGGTATTCTGTCCCACTGAAATCATGCCAGTTTCCAGGGATCAGCAGAGATTAGAATCTGGTTTCAGGACATATCAGGGAAGCTTTGAATTCCCACTGATCTACTCATTTTCCTGCCTGGGTACAGCATGATTGATCAAGGCTGCAGAATGCAGTGTGTGTATGATTGGAAACCACTGCCTGTCCTTGAAGGACATATTCCTGCAGTGATTCAGGAATGCCACTGTAGCCTAAATGTAAAATTAAAGGGATATATTAAATTTATATTTCAGACTTAAAGTAGGGATATATGTTGTCTTGAATTTCTTTCCACATTATTCGGTAGGTGGCTGTTTAATTTTCTATGAAATAATACTACTACTTTTTTTAGGATTTTTCCCTATTAGGTAGCAAGGAAGATGTTTGAAAATATCAAATCTTGGGCTGAGTATGTTGTGGAATGGGCTGCAAAAGATCCATATGGATTTCTTACAACAGTGATCCTCGCTCTAACACCTCTATTCTTGGCAAGTGCGGTGCTATCATGGAAACTGGCAAAAATGATTGAAGCTAGGGAACGGGAGCAAAAAAAGAAGCAAAAACGCCAAGAAAACATTACAAAAGCTAAACGAACAAAGAAGGACTAAGATGTCAATTTCACTGGGCAGAATTTTTCTGGCAATGCACTGTTACTGTATGTGTACTTTTTTGTGTTGTATCCTTGCAGAAGTGGGACATGATCAGTTTGAGAATTCCTGGAATAATGTGTTCTTAATTTGTGCTATTAAAATTTGTGGTCATGAACTTTAATTGCTTTTTTAAGAACTCTTCTAATATTTTTTTCCTAAGTTGGCATGTAAGCAAAATGTAAGTTTATAATACATGTGTCATATAACTTCATAAAATATGAATTATGACTTTCATTAAAAGTCTATCTTATGATTTTATACTGCAGAAAAGAATTGTTTTTTTAAAATAATTTGCCTTCAGTTTCATTGTACTATAAAATATTCCTACATTGCAAGGAATCCTGATTTCATAGTGAAAACCAGTATTTTCAACATATATTGGGGTAATGATTTGTAAGAACCAAATTGTCTCAATTATGGAATCCATGGTAGCTTAAATTATCATTCAAGGGACTCTATCCACCCTCCTTGTTAAATGTAAATGATAGCAACCTTATCTACAAAATATTTGGAAAAGAACATGAAATATGATTACTGGAATAGTCCACGCACAACCATAGCTGTTGGATAATAGTTTCTCATTTGGTGCTATATTATATTCCTGATGGCTACATCAGTGAGGACAAAGCAAAAGTGAATGTTTCCCAGCTGAATGTAGATGACCACTAGTCTCATATTTATAACCACCAGTGTCAGTGGCTATAAATGTTCTCACATGTTTATTAGTTCAGCAAAAGCAGACTGAGGGCAAGATTTAGGGAATCTCTGTCAGTTAGACAAAATGGCAAGCATCATTCTCCCTACAGCAAGCTCCTTTGACTGCTTTCACAAAGTTGCTATTAGAAGCTTCTCATTCTAAACTAAATTATAGTTCCCTATTAAATCTGAAGTCAGTACCTTGCCTTTGAAGGCAACAACTCATGCCTGGCAGACAAATAACTAGCACTATGCAGTTCCTTTATATATTTCTAGTCAAGTCCTGCTTGTTTCAGCTCTTCAAAAGCCAAGGCTTCTTAGGATCATCTGTGAAAATCTTAAGTCATATTTTGAAGTCTTATTTCTTTAGATCCAGTTACTTGTAAATATAACCATAAAAGAGGAAGCTTATTTATCACATTGGTTTGGTGAAATAATAATAGCCACTAAGTCAACATTGGCTTACTGATGTTAAGTTAATAAAGTTAGGGTTTATGTAGGATAGGAAGCTAATAACTTCATCTACCAGTAACTGCATCTCCTGATGCAAAGGATGCCAAGTACAAATATGCATTTTAAACAAAATGTATAGGACATTTAAATATATTCATCATTGCACATTGCTATTGACTTGTTAAACTATGAAACATTAATTTAAATTTCCAGTCTAAATAAACAATGTTAAAATTAGCTTTGTTAACTTGCACAAATGCTGACATTTATTTACAGTGAGACGTTTTTAACTGTAATATGTCCCTTTCTAAATAATTATACATTGTATTTAGTGACATTTGGAACCTTGTCTAAATCTAGTTAGAGACAATTAGCAAATGAAATAATTACAGCATTGCTTGCTTTTTATAAACAACATTTTGGGTCCACTTCCACGAACAAGCCATTTTTTTAATACGTTAGGAGAAGCTGTGAACTCATGTGAATGAGTAACTTTCATCATTTAGCAGCTTGGAGTCTGAGAGTGTTACAAGTTCATGATAGCTTGACAGGCCTTTAAAGAGAACATCTGCATGCACAGCACACAGCACATATGCAGTAGACTTTTTAAACATTAATTAACAGAATATATATAGTCCATTATATAGTATATCAAGTTAAGAATAGCTACACCATCTGCAATGTTTACGGCAACACTAATTTTATTTAAGTATAACTTTAGTGAAAACATTATCAAATCATTTTAAGAGGCAAAAGAATTAAGAGGTAGGACATTTTATAAAAGCAATTAAACATTTCCACAAGTAACACAGCAGAAAATGCTAAGCTTTTACAATGTAGTTTGGAATTCTAAAAAGTGTCTTTGCTCCTGTTGCTCATTAATCAAATTGTGCCTCTTTCCTGATGCTTTGCATGGGCCTTTTATTTGTCACGGACAGGAGGCATCCAGGCTCCAGGCTGAAATGTACTGGCTGTACTAATTGGGTCTTCTGAGCGTTCGGGCTTTCTATAGTTAGAAGCAGATGCATGTCCTTTAATCTGCGTTTGAAGTGGTCCTACCTCGAGACCCTCTTCATAATCTTTGACCTGCAGGAGTCTGTTTTTTTCACACAAATCTTCAACTTTAGCTTTCATTTCTTGTTTGTAGTTCTCACTCTGGATACATTCCTGAAACAAATACAACAACATATTGAACTGACTGAAAGAAACAGTGAATGCTAAGGAGGTCCACCTTGCCTGAATGGGTAGGTTGTGTTGCATTCAGTCTTCCTGCAGAAGAGCTTACCTCACTCACCAAGCAGCATTTGAAGAGGCCAGGAAAGCCAGTCCCTGTATATGCAGTTGCATCTAGATCCAACTCACCAGCCTGTAGGATGCTAGTGTCATCTGTTTTCACTCTTCCCTGCAGCTCTTTCTCTACCATGAATTGTGGGCGTTCCCTCTAGAAGAGTATGATAGACTTGCCCCCAAATTCCATTCCCATTCCATTGATGGACCAGTGGATCAAAAGCCTTCTATCAGTAGAGTGATACCAATTAAAACAAACCATTGCTTTGATATTCTTAGAGCTATGTTTAAGCCTAATACACGCTTGTCAAAATACTTTCCTTTATTTATTTA